TTTATATTTATATTTATATTTATATTTATATTTATATTTATATTATATTTATATTTATATTATATTTATTTATTATTTATTTTATTTATTTTAACATTTAAACCCATGTATGGCCATGACCTGCAGGTGAATGGCATGCCAGTAGACTGACATTTCATGGTTGAATTAACCTCACTTTCTTCTGAATTGACGTAAACCAATTTCCATTTAAAATCAAGTATAGCCTACCGAATATCATCAGAATTTTACCACTAGAAGGAAAAATTCACTGCGATATAATAAAAAATTATGTGCCAGTTAAATGACGCGTAATTTTATGACATATTTTTTCTCAAGTGAAATACACGTTTACGATTGTATCTTGTATCACGCTCAAAACACCAACCACCAACAATGTAAACAACACACCTGATGTCCAATTCTTGAAATCTCCACACGAGAGTCCCATTGAATCGATGCAACATGGCGGAACCGCGGTAAAATTCAAAATATGCAATTTCACTCCAAATGTCCGTACCAAGTTTGAAGTCGGTTTTTTCGGTTCCAAAGGGAGATTTATGTTTAATAATGATGTTAAAATCTTAGTTCTATATTATGATTAAATGAACATGGGGAATTTTTAATTGAGTTTGCAATTGGAGGGAGTAAGTGTAACTGGAATAGAGAATTTTCGTCAATGGACAGGCCAGGTGACTGACATTTTTAGGAGTTTCTGCATGTTTCCGTTGGATAAGCCACTCCCCAATTAGCAGATTATTGTGCGATACTTCAAATACAATGGCAGTAGTAAACTTTCACAACGCTTGCTTACCCTCCTCTCAATCATGAACATATAACAAGCTTATTGTTAGACAGTAAAAATCGCTATTTATGTAGAAACACCCAAATATGCATTTTTTACTATATCTATTTATTAAATACAATATAAGGTATTATTTGAGGCTTAGGATATAACATGTAATAGAAACTAATAAAAGTTAATACAAAATACTAAATACATATATATGGGCCCCAAATAGCACCAGCAGTTGTATCTATACACAGGTCTGCCGTCATTGCGTAGGTGTGTCTAATTGAGATCTCAAAATCTCGGGTACTCGCAACTCGTGCATTCGCGTAAAAGAGTCACGGTGCGTCTCGCTCCGCGCGTACTTGGTACTCTCTTGATATTGCAATATTACAATACAGTATAATATTGTCCATCTTGTAGAACTTGTTAACTTTTTAAAATTTGTTAAATCTATCGGGATTCTAATGTCTGGATATCTAATGTAAGTTGTTGATGACATCTTTGAATCCAGGAAGGGTAATAAGAAGTTATTTATGAACTGACAGTTCTCCACACTCTTATCTGTAATTAAACAGTTTACATTGAATTCGCATTAATATCGATACGCTAATTTATGTTCGCGTTTTATTGGAACTCATATAAGTTGTTACACAACTTTCAAGATAAGCGGTGCATTATTATTTGAAGATGTCAAATTTTATTCTTGTTCTTTCGATTATTTACCTTTACGATTAGTATCGGTAGGCTCGTGTTCTGGAAGTAACGAGTCGATGGTTGTAGGATGTTTGACGTCAATTAAGGGCGACTTCGCGGCCACATCATTGTCATGTGCAACAATCTTAGATTTACTGGATTCGGTGCTTGCAGGATCCGATATTTTCCTTCGGTTGTGTATTATCTGAAAAAATATCGTTCTTATGAAATATTTAGTGACTTACATGATCAATTCGTGTACAAATAAAACACGATAAATATAAGCGTTTGTGTTGTAATTACTTTAAGGAAAGCTATTTGTCAATAATACAGTGATGTACATATTTGTCGCATAAGACAAATTGCTAGGTGTTATATAAAGGTATTTCGAATTAAATATTACATTTAAACATATCAAATTAAATAAAATTTGAACTTTTAATAAAATGATAGTAATATCTATAAATAAAATATTGCAAATGTTAAGTTAATGAAACATCATCATTTAATCAGATCAAGTAATAGGATAATGAGCATTCACCAAGGGTTGAAGAGAGCGGCCTTCGCCCATATGGTAAATAAATTGCTTTCTACGCCTCGATTCTTCCATTCTTTTACGCTTAGCCTCTTTTGGATCTTCATTTTTTTCTGTTGTCTGAACTCCCGGAAGATATCGCGTCGATTCCTGGTCTGGTAATTGTTCCGCGCGATATTGTTCAGTCGGAGATCGTATCCAGTGCTGCGAAACAGACTAATGTTGCAAATAGCGTGGATTGCTATCGTATTGATGTTCATAGCCGGGTTGAACGGGGACGCCGGCAAGTGCGATACTTGCTAACGAGATTGTCACTGCTAAGAACTGGAATAATTAAGAAAACTTTAAGCAGATTATTCTCAAACAGATGTTCAATATGACAGAAATGTGTTCCCTAAATTATTTATTTAACAATTTAAAATTGTTGAGAGACATTACACACATATTTATGGATTTACTATGGCACATTATTTTGTTAATATAAAAATCGATTTAGAGAAAAAGTAAAATATAAAAGAGAAATAAATATTTTATTATGTATTAATTTCTACAAAATTGCTGCCTAATGACATACATATAGCTTAATTATTGAGAAATTCTAATTCCAGAAGTTAAAGACTCATAAAAATATTAAATAAATGTAAAATATATATCAGAAAAGTTTACTCACTAATCCTCGATGCGAAAACATTGTGTTGCTCTTACAGTTTCACTTGATGGAACTAACGCGATTCCTCAGTGTCACTAACTTTCTGGAGTTGAATAACAGTTAGAAAAACGATTACAGTCAAGAATGAAGTAACAGACCCAAAGCCGAAAACGGTGTGTCGCCTCGCGGCGTTTTTCGCCCTTTTTCGAATATCCGAAATGGCCAGAACCCCCCGCGCGAGAGTCTCACCACTTTCTATAATACGCGTCTTAAGGGGAGAGGTTTTCTAGAAGTTTCTAGAAACGTAGTTTTGGGCCCCATCTGGGCCTCAGCCTATCAACAGCCGTCCGATAACCGTAGGATAAACCAAACATTTGTATTGATTTGAGCGTTCGCTCGGAATTCTGAGCTAGCATGCGTCGTCTAAACCGTTCAAAAATTCCAACGTGCGTCGTCCGAAATTTTAGGATAAAATTTCCGTACGTAACAGTACAAAAGACCGAATTTATTTCGCGATAACGTTTCGTGAACACGGTGCGTGCTTTTTATGTTTTATTTCATAACTTTCAGCGCACTTTAAACGTTTCAGTGCTTTGTTACTTCGACGCGTTATTATACGATGAGTTTACGACCTGCTACAACCGGTAGCCGTCAGCTACGCGTTATTTATCCATTTGAAAGGATCAACGATGCATCGCGATCAATGGATCTTGCGATTACTGTACCATGGCAATTGATTCCGCAAAACATTAGCTGAGGGTTTTGATTTAATGTTCGTTCGATATCTGTTCATCTCTGTAGTTTGCTGAGACTTGCCATTCAATTCTATTCGGACAAATATAACAAATATAGTTCTCTAACCAATTTTTATCGCGTTTCAAACATTGCGATGTTTGCCCCGTCAATAAAAATAATGAAAGATAAACATTCGCGCATGTCATTGAAAGTAGCTTTCCACGGAATCGAGGAAATTATATTTCATCAGAGAGAAATGCACCCGGGGGCGAGTCAGAAATCTCGATCAGTGTTTGCCCTCCTTTTCCGGGATTCGCATATTTTACAGACGTACGGGCGGCTCCTCGATTCCTGCGTTTGGCTCAATTAACTCTCATGGCTAATTGTCTGAAATTGAATTTTCGTTTTATCGCTGTGTGCGCTTACCGGTTACAGCCAAAGTTGGGATTGTTAGTGAAAGTGCTCCGGTGTGTTTATATTCCATGATGAAACTTTACGATTTTGGATATGCAGTCCGGATATTATCGGTTTTCATTTAATCGTGAAACTATCTTCTCATTAATTAACTTATCTAAAGGATATACAGAATAGAAATATAATCGACTCTACTGGCCATTATAATCGCCAAGACAATACGACCACGATTTGGTTCGATTATTGTCATGTAATCTTTGATGCTTATATATAAGAATCTTATTTAAATAATTAAACAATAAGTATGAGATTATACGATCGTGTAAGATATACAATCAAATAAAGGGAAAACGCCGTAATCGGTCAGGACTGGATCTTGCTTGTCCGAATAATATATTAATTCTTGAATGACTTTTTATGTGCAATTCTTTTGCCCTGGCAGACCACGCGCCGTTACTTTCGGACATAACGCAGTCTCAATATATCACCACATGCCTCAGTGGTCGAATTGGTGAGACGCCCGTCACGGAATGAGGGAGGTCCAGGTTCGAATCTTGGCTGGGGTGTTATTTTTCGCAACATTTCTTTTATATTCTCAGTATCCTATCCTCTATATATATATATATATATATATATATATATATATATATATATATAT